TAAAGACCTTGGTTAGCTAGCCGTTCTGTTCTGTAAGGTAAGGCTAGAGCCCAACCAGGTGACCTGTACAAGAAACTCACCTGTCCTTTTTTCCACAGAGAGTGGATGAGCTCACAGGGCTCTGCAGAGGGGCCTGGGACTGTCAGTTCTGAGAGGCACCAAGGAAAAATAAGCACAGGGCGGGAAGGGAGACCATGGCAGCCATGCATATCAGCCTCTGAGTATAGCCTGAGTACCACCCAAACCTGGAGGGCATGACCTCCATGCACATTGGACCTTCCCACCAGGTCTCATGGTGCTCCAGCCCAAGGGGGCAACAGATCAGGGAGGCCCTACAGGCTGGACAGGCAGGGACTGCATTAAGTCCTATAGGGATGGGGCCATCGGCCTGGCCCATATAGCCCAACTCCCTCTTGCTGCCGCACTCCAGTTGTGTGTCTGTGCAGTCAGGAACAGGCAGCCTCACTGTGGGGCCGTGGGAGCAGCTCTGAATCTCAGCATTGCCGTTTGTCCACTCTTGGGCCTCTCTCCAGCTTGCTTCATTTAATGTACTTCATGGTTTTAGGAAAATTCCATGTGCTTGAGGCCCCTGGTATTTAGCAGGCTTTCAGAAGATGGTGGTTGTGCATTGAGCTACTTAACTAGAGGCCCCTACCTGCAGACCCCAACCCACATGTACTGGAGGCCAGTGGATAAAGGGATGAGCATGATGTGGCCACAGGAAGGGCTTCCTGGACAGGTGGTTGGTGCTCCACTGGCCTCCAAGGAATTGGCCCCATGCATTTTGGCTGGCATTGTGGCGGCAGAAGAAAGTTGTGTAGGAAGGACCAGACTTTTGGAATGGAGCAAGGAAGGTGGCTCTGAGGCCTTTAGGGAAGCCATCTGTTCTTCTGCTTGCTGTGAGGGCATTAGACAGCTGGGCCCCTAGAGCAGCTGACCCAGCTACTGCTGGTGGGGCAAAGTGCCCTCCTAGGCGAGTCTGCAGCAATGAGATAAGTACTCCAGGTAAAAGTTGGAGGCTAACTGGGCGCTGGGAACAAGATAGGGGATCTACCTGCTGTACTTGGCTGTCTACCTGTGTTTAAGTGGAAACAGACAAGGCCACAGAGAGTCTGACAGCCTTGCAATGGGGGCTCAGGTCTGGGGATGGACAATGCCTTGGTCCTGATGGAAGAGCCGGAAGGTAGGGTGGCTCCAGTTCCTAGTGGCCTCGTGCTGTCAGAGAGCGGGCACTGGGGCTGGTACTGGCTTGAAGAGGTCAGAATTGTGCACATGGAAGTATCTGGGTGTCAGCCTCCCTGTCCTGACCCACAGTAGACAGCTGCTTTCCATTCTGTCCTGGGCCCATCATAGATGGTCTCCCCAGACTGGACAGTGATGACCTCACTTCACTTCCAGGGCATGCAGGCCTGTCAGTGCAGCTGTCCACAGGTGCAGCACCCCCCTTTCCATGAGCTGGCATGTGGTGACCAGGAAGGGTCTCAGTTCCAAGGGTGCCAGGGAGGAGGGGAGGCTGGGACCCAGTGCCCCATGAAGGGCCTTGGGGTGGTGACCTCCTGCTTTTGACTGTACCAGGGGCGTGGCATAATGGTGTCTGCAATGACCAAGTTCCTTCCATCCGTCTGTAGGCTTTGGTTCCCAGCCTGGGGATGTGTGGGCTTCTCTGAGTGAGACACTAACGCTGTCCTGCCTTTCCTCCTGCATTGGTCTCTGCAGGTAACTAGGATTTCTACCTCAACCTCGAGACCTGTGCAAGGACAGGTGGGCCATGAGGCTGGTGGCCAACCAGATGGCTGGACAGACCGAGGACAAGGCTCTGCTGTGAGTCCACGCTGCACCGACCTGAGGGAGATGCTGGGCCTGTCTCCAGCTTACTGTCGATAGTTTTAGATAAAGTATTTATCGTTTTTTAAAAAGTATAAACAATTTTGACTTATTCCATGGAAGTCATAAAGGCAACCTATTAAGAAATGTAAATACTATATATGAGAGGATCTATATAAAGACATCGACCCAACGGACTGGCCCGCCAGTGGAGATGCCAATTGCCGGGCCCGGTGCTATCTTATCGCCAGGCCTCGCCGTCTCCATGTTTTCTTGGTGCTGACTCGAGGTTGACCAACGCCAAAACCAGTCCTTGACGCGCCTGCCCTGTCATCCCCACATTTTCCCATACCAAAGGCACGCCTGTCTCCTGGTCGAGGGTGGTTCCCTTGGTTTTTAATGTCCCTCGGAAAAGGCCCTCTCCCCCACCCCGTCACTGTGAATGCTCCAGCCAGATTGTCAGCCCTGGTCCCCGGGATGGCACCTTTGGCGTAGGAAGGGCCAGTGGGTGGCCTCTAGATGCTGCTCGAAGGAGGGCTGCTGTGAGTGGTGCTCGTGGGGCAGGTCTGGTACTTGACTCCAATGTGGGGCTCTGGGGAGCAAGTGCTTTATCTGTATGTCTGCACTGTCTTGGGCTTGCGCAGTCCGGGAGCGCTGGCTGGGTCGTGGGGCAGGTTAGCCGTGGGTGCCTGGTGTGTCTGTACAGAAAAGAGTCACGCTGACAAGTGACAGTATTTTATATAGATGTGATGAAAATTTATAAATTTCATAGACTTGACTTCATTTATTTTTAGATGGTATTAATGCACAGTAAACTTTAAAAAAGGAAGAAAAATGAGGGGGAAAACCTTTTTATTTATTCAAGTGTACACAAGTGGGGTTGGCCCAGGGCCAGAGCGCTCCACATCCTCCTGGTCAGTTCATGCTGCTGCTCCATGGCCCTTCAGTCCCATGACTGGGGTGACAGCTGCCCTCACACTGGAGCAGTCTCCATGGTGCTTGAGAAAGAATGCACCTCGGGTGATTGAGGGCAAAGGCTGGCTTTGCAGGAAGGCAGGAGAGCTGTTTGGAAGCTTCCAGAGGTTGCCAAAGGGTTCTTGGGTTCCTCTAGCGCTGCAGTCTCAACCAGTCCTGGGTTTCTCAATTGAGCAATGTTTGTGCATTGTCCCTGAAAGGGCGTTTCCAGAAGCCTTCAGTCCTCTTGAAGGGCAGTCAGCCAAAGGTCCTGGCTGGTGGGGGGGCCTGGACCTGGGGAGGGGGGTGCTCCAGCCTGGGTGAGTTCAGTCAGAGCCCTGGCTGCTCTGGTGCTTGTCCCATGAATGTGGCTCCGCCAAGGAACATGGGAACTCAAAGCCTCAAGCTCCTACTTTCCCCAGCCTGGCCAGTGCAGCCCATTCCTCCAGATGTGGTTGCCTGGGTTCTTCTGCCTGCCTGGGAGGGTTGCTAAGGCAGGCCTCACCTGGCCCCTCCCCCTCCTGATCCTTGGGGACGGGGCTGGAGCTGGCCTTTGTGCGGGGTGGGCAGTGATCTTGTAGAACACAGGCCCAAAAGGGTGCAGAGCAGGCTTGGCTATTGACCTCATTTCCTCAGGTGGGTCCTGGTAGAGCCCTGCCTCCTGCTTGCCCTGGGGTGGTGCCTGGCCCAGAACAATAGTTGAGGCTGAAGATGGTGCTTGGACAGGTTTTCATAACTGGCTGTCCTGTAACTGCTGCCCTGGCTCCCTTACCTCCAGGTCTGTGCTTTTGGCACACGAAGGTGCTGTGCTCACCCCGTGTCCCACAACCCCATCCCCAGCACAGGGCAGCACCCTTCTCCATGTTGGGAACACAGGAATCCCTAAAAAGCTGCAGGGCTAACAGTAGGAAAAGTCAGCAGGTGGCATGTCCCCAGTCTGGAACCAAACAGTCCTGTACTCAACACTGCATCACTTCATGGTGACTGTGCACCACTGTGTAGGACTTACTACTGATGTGCCATGTCTGTGCTCCCCACACAACCAAGTCTGCCCAACAGGCAGAGCTGGGTTCTGCTGGTCAACACTGTGGTCCCCTTTCTGGGCCCATCCCCCAGCCCTCCTGACTATGAGATCTAATGGCCACTGGTGGCAGCAAAGGCAGCTGCCGGAGGGAAGGCCAAATGAACGATACTGCTGCCACCACCGTGGGGAATGAATTCTAGTCTCTGGGCAGAGACTCAGTGCTGCTGCCCTGACTGCAGGCAACTTCAGAGAAGCCCAGGGATGTGAGGGCACTTTGCTCAGGAAAATCTAATTCAGAACACCCTCCCAGTCAGGAGGAGCCAGCCTTCCCTTCCATTTCTGACCTGTGATTATTTAAGACACACTTGCCCTTTTATTTATCCGCGCCGTCACAGGAGACTTCATTTCCCCACCACCCTGTCATTCCCATTTACATGGTCCATCCACGCCAGCTTGTGTGGCTTGTGTCTTGTGTGTCAATGACCTTGACTGTTATTCAGACTGGCCCTGCTTTGTCATTCTGGTAGACCATGTTTCAGTTGGGGTTGCTGGCTTGACCCTCGTTCCCTAAGGAAACCTCACTGCACTCTGATTTCCATCTCTAGACTGTAATAAAATGTTTGTTTTCACTTGAACCTGGTCTGCTGGCATTTGTCCCTGGTTAAAACATGCTGAGGCCTTAGGGACTTGAGGGCCACACGTGGGGAGGATGGTCACACACAGCAGAGGCCCAGCCTGCTCCTGAAGCAGCTGCTGTGACTGGCAGCCAGGGAGTGCCCACCTCTGGGAAGCCTAGCCCCTCTAAGGATTACATCTGACTAGGTGAGCACTCCCCTCCCCCCCTACATAAGGATAGTCCTTCTGATAAACTAAAATCAAACCCCTCCCCAAGTCCCCCACTGCGCTTAAGGGGCAGGCCTGTGACTCGAGGTGGGATCTGAGGATCCCTTCACCACCACCCTCATTCTCCCTCAAGGCCTGTGAGCAGGCCTCCCAGCACTTCCTGCCTTTCTAGGCTCCAGGCTGTGGGTCTCCTCCCCTCCATTTAGGCAGCCCAACCTCTTCTTCCTGGACACTTAAACCTCAGCCTGGAGAGGACCCCTGATCCCCAGGAGCCTCACTTCCCTCAGAAACCAGCTCTGCCAGCCTGTGGTGGGCATAGAGCCCTCTTTGCAGTCACTGCACCACTGACCCCACATGGAAAAGAGGTACCTTTATTTGAACAGAACAAGCATGCCAGCTCGAGAGCAGAAGCTTCCAGCTCTGTCCAAAGGTGTTGGCTGGGTCCTGGCACTCAGCAGAATTCACAGCAGTCCAGGAAGCGCGGCCCCCGCGCCCTTCACAGCTTTATCGAGCTTCATACATTCAGCCTGCACAGGGCAAGAGAGCTGCGCCGGCCTCCAGCACCCACCGGGCCCTAGATGGACGAGCCCCAGAAGCCAGGCACAGTTCCTGGGAGTAGACACTCGTCTCCTAGCAGCAGCATGTGGCACTGAGAGGTGCTGGACTAATCTGATGGGTCCCAAGGCACAGCCTCTGCCCACCCTCATGAGCCTTGAGTTACTGAAGTCTTTATGCCAAAACACCTCACTTTGAAAATCCAGGTTTGGCCAGGAAACCCAGAGCCTGGCAAGGATGGGGAGGGCTCTTTCAGGTCCCAGTGAGTCAAGGTGAGGAGCCCAAGCCCAACCCTAGACTCATGCCTTCAAGCCACTGAGCTGGAACCGGGCCTCCTCCGATATGCCGAACTGTTCCAGGGGGTCCTGTGTGGTGGATGGGTAGCATTAGCCCTGGCCCAGGAGCAACCCCCCATTTCCCATGCCCTGTGCACACCTTGCCAGTCATCTTCTGGATTTCATTCCTGTAGAAGATGACGCTCCTGCGCATGAACTCATAGCTGGGGAAGGAATTGGCCTGTGCTCATAGGGCCTGGCTCTGCCCCTGCCCCTGCCCCTGCCCCTGCCCCAGGCCCAGACCCCCAGGCTAGCCCACAGCCCACACCCCACCTGGCTCGACGCAGAGCCCCCATCCACTCCTGACACTGCTCCTCACTGCAGCACTCAAAGTGATACTTCCTCTCCGGATCCTCGATGAAGCCTGCAGAGGAAGGGGTCCCAGTTTCTCCCTGCTCACTCTCACCTCCACCCACACTAGCCAGAGGTGTTAGCTTCCTGTTGCCACTGTCCACAGCTGTCCCCTCCTCTAGCCTCAGCTTGGAGTTGTTGCTTCTCACTAGCTGTGGATTAACTTGTACGCCCCAAAAGGGTGTGTTCAAAACCTAGCTTCTGAAACTCAAGAGTATGGCCTATATGAACACAGGTAGTTACAGGTGTAAAGATAAGGTCACACTGGAGTGGGATGGATTCCTAACACAATAGAATTAGTGTACTTATAAAAAAAGAAAAACTTGGGCACAGACGAGCAGGAGAAAGGCCACAGGACTATGGAGGCAGAGAGGAAGGAGATGCTTCTACAAGCTGAGAAATGCTAAAGATTGCCAAAGATCTCCAGAAACTGGGACAGCATAGCACAGATTCTCCCTAAGAAGGAGTCAGTCCTGCTGACTCCCCAACCTAGAACTTCTGCCCTCCAGCACTAAGAGAAATAAATTTTTGCTGCTGAAGCCCCGCAGTGTGTGGCACTGAGTTAAAGACACTACAGAAAACTAGAAGCTCTGCCTTCCTCTGCAGACTCGACCCTCTCAAATGGAAGCACCCCAAGAGGACAGTGCTCGCCAACCTGGAGTGAAAATCCTGGTGGCCTTGGCGGTGGCAGTTAGGAAGTGACTGGGACGGGTGCGCACAGCCTGCCCCACAAAAAAGAAACCCAAGTCGGCCAAGGACGGCGGACTTTTGTTTCTGGGGAGGGGCAGAGCAGAGCTGAGGTCACCTCCTGCCTAGTCCCCGAATCCCGCACTCACTGATAGAGAAGCCGGTGGGTTCTTCATGGGTGACTCTGCAGTGCTCCAGCAGCAGGGCTCCGACGGGCTGGGAGGCAGATGGGCCGGATGGGCGGGCCTCCCCGCTACCCTAGCCCCCCGACCGAAGCCCGGGGCCCGCCTCCCTGCCGCCCTACCTCGGCCTCGTCAGTCCGGAAGTAGAAGAGGAAATTGACCACCAGTTTCACCAGCCTCCGCTTCACCGCTGTGGACACAAGGCGGGCTCGCTCACGCTCGGCGACCGCACACGCCCCTCGGGTCCGCAGCCCCACCCGCCCAGTCCCCAGCCCCTGCCCGGCTCACCGCTGCCCTTCTTGGGGCCCCGCATGCCAAGTTCGGCCGCTAAGTCGGCCGGCTGCCGGGACAACGCCTGCAGTTCCTTCTCGTTGTAGCGCATGGCGCCCCGAGCCCGAACGCGGAGGGTGCGCAGCGACCTCCCGGCCACCGTCCCCACTTACACCAAAAAAATTTCCATAGGGCTTTCCCGGAAGCGCTCCCTAAGCTATTGCGCCTGCGCAGTCCCCGACTCCTATCTAGTCCATCACCGGCTAGGGGCCACGGGGACAGAGTACAGCAAGGGTTCGTGGGGCGTACGGGATAGCGGGCGAGACCAATGACCATTATATGCAATAAGTTGGACCCGGGGTGGAAACAAAGCGTCCCTGCGGCTGACGACGCCCTTTACTGAAATAGGAACAGACGGAGGAGAGGAGTCGCAGCCTTCCCTCCCGCAGGCTCTGTCCAGTCTCTTGGCACGTTAAACTAAGAGATTGGAGAGCCTGGTGGACATGGGTACTTCATAGTCCTGCCTGCATTTTTTCAGACGCGCCCTCTCTCGCGCGCTTCTAGTGTCTGACTCCCGCCTCTGGGCAGGCCGAACATGCGCACCTGGAAGGTTTCGCCCAGTTCACCTCCGGAAGTGCTTCCTTAGCCCGCCGCACATGCGCGCTGGGGAGTAGTCGTAGTGGCGGTGGTGGCTGAAAAGGCGACGGAGTCGCGGCCTTGGTTACAGGTAAGGAGAGAAGCGAGAGCCGCGAACCCAGATCCGGGAAGAGAGCGAAGGTGGACGAGGGGCGTCTGCGGCGCGGGCTGAGGACGAATGGCTGCGTCGCCCACTATTGAGGAATGTCGGGCCTGTGTCCTCGGTGTCCACCCCAGCCTCGCTCGCTTGAAACTTTCCAATGACCCGCTGAGATCGAGTCGGGGTCGCAGCTCGCATGGCGTCTTCCGGTTAATCGAGGACCTCTGTCAGCACTAATTTGCGTCCGTTAGTTGACTGGCTCTTTGGTCCGGAAGTCATACGATTCCGCTGAGCCTCAGTTTCTGTATCTGGAATGGGAGCAACAGTAATTACCGGTTCCAGGCCAACTGAATAATTACGGTCCTGGGAACAGAGAGCCCAACTCCGTGCCAAAGGGCACCAGAGCCCGTTAGCTGACCATATTTCGCCAGCAAAGCCCAGAGGTTATTAAACGACTTGCTCGTATGCCTGGACCGCCCTTTCCTATACTTTTGGCAACACAGAACGAGCGAGAGAAGCTACCGATAACAATCTGTTAGCCAGTTTTAAGGCGATAAAAAAGATTAAAGTTTTTAAATTATTTCCCCCATAAAAAGCTGTCACTCATTCCTGCTCCCTCCTTGGTCCCAGAGGCCGCTTCTGCTCAATGATTAAAGCTGGTCCTTTCTAAATAGCGCTTCTTTTTGGATGTACCGCTTTTAGACGCGGCTCGCTGAGTTCCTGCTGTAATTGATCAGGTCTTAGTTCTCCCTCCCACCCACCCACTCCATCTTCATCCTCCGTACTGGATGTGCTTCTGTCCTGAGCATTAGTCAAATCATTAGCTGTTTTCTGAGACTGAAAATAAGATTCCCTGTTGAGGCAAGTAGCATGTTCATCTGTGCTGCTTTTCCTTTACTGTTCTTTCTTCTCCTCAAAGCTTATTTTCTTTGCTAGCTGTTAATTTTTTCCTCAAAGCTCCAGCACCTCACACAACACCTCACATAGTGATAGGTTGTATTTTCCCACAGGTTTAAACGAATCAATACTTTTTTTTTCTTTCCCTCATGGAAATATTTCTCCCAGACGCTGGCATTCACCTGTGCTTTGTACCGCTTGCTTACAGTGAAGCTTTTGTCCTAGAACTTTATGTTAGTGATCCCCTAAGTTGGCTTCTGTTTTGTTGTGTTTTTTTTTGTTTTGTTTTTAAGACTTTACTTATTTTTAGAGAGGGAAACATCAATGTGTGTTTGCTTCTTATGCACCCCCTACTGGGGACCTGGCTTGCAACCCTTTGGCAGGACAGTACCCAATCTACTGAGATACACCAGCCATGGCTGGCTTCTGTTTTCAATCTAATGACTTCCTCCTCTTCCTTCTATAAGCTCATATTCTGGTAGTTTTGAAATAAATTGATTGATTTAAGATTGTTTGATTGATTTTGAGTCCTTGGTTATTTGAAAATGGCTCTATTTACCCTCTCAGTTTGGGTATAAAATTAAAATTCTGGGTTGAAAGTCTACATTGAGATGTGAGTGTTGCTCCTCTTCCCGGTTCAGTGCTGTTCTGAAGAATCTGGCCCCATTCTGCTTTCTGACCTTTTCCTTTTTTTTTTTATGGTTTAGTAGAAACAAGGTTTTCCTCAGTGCTGTAGTTTCATGAGCCATTTATGGAAGGTCTTTTTGTTTCTGTAGGAAGATTTAGATCCTTTGAGTCCTGAGACATTTCCTATTCTTCAGTAATGTTTATCTCTGTTTTTTTCTGTTCTCACTCTGGAATTTCATCTAGTTTCTTGCTCTGCTTCTACTTGTTTATATTTTGTTCTCCTTCATGAGAGATTGCTTTGACTTTTGTTAATGTATTTTAAAGGTTTTTTTTAGGTTTATTTATTTTTAATTTTTTTAAAGATTTTATTTTTTTATCTTTAGAGAGAGGAGAAGGGAGGGAGAGAGGGAATCATCAGTGTGTGGTTGCCTCTCGCACACTCCTTACCGGGGACCCCACAACCCAGGCATGTGCACTGGGAATCAAACTGGCGACCCTTTGGTTTTCAAGCCAGCATTTAATCCACTGAGCCACACTAGCCAGGGCTCAATTTATTTATTTTTAGAGAGAGAGGAAGGGAGGGAGAGAGGTACATTGATTGGTTGCCTCTCAAACACCCCAACTGGGGACCTAGCCTGTAACCCAGACATTTGCCTTGACTGGGAATCAAACAAGCAACCTTAAGGTTCTTGGGCCAGCAATCAGTCCATTGAACCACATTAGCTAGGACTTTTTGAGTTACAGAAAAAAGGGGGGGCGGTTTATTGATGGCTTTTTTTAAAAGATTTTATTTATTTATTTATTTATTTTAATTTTTTATAGATTATGCTGTCACAGTTGTTCTATTCCCCCTTTCATTCCCCTCCACCCTACCCCCCATCCCCACCATTACCCCCCCTTTAGTTTATGACCATGTGTCTCAAGTCCTTTAGATTCTATATTTCCCATGCTATTCTTGCCCCCCTTCTATTTTCTATCTACTGTCTATGCTACTTATTTTCTGTCCCTTCTCCCTCCTTCTCCTCCTCCCACTCCCCTGTTGCTAACCCTCCTTGAGATCTTCATTTCTATGTTTCCACTCCTGATCTAGCTGTCCTTTTAGTTTGCTTTCGTTTTAGGTGTGGTTGTTGATAACTGTGAGTTTGTTGTCCTTTCACTGTTCATGTTTCTTTATCTTCTTTTTCTTAGATAAGTCCCTTTAACATTTCATATAATAAGGGTTTGGTGATGATGAACTCCTTGAATTTGATCTTATCTGAGAAGCACCTTATCTGTCCTTCCATTCTAAATGAAAGTTTTGCTGGATAGAGCAATCTTGGATGTAGGTCTTTGGATTTCATGACTTGGAATACCTCTTTCCAGCCCCTTCTTGCCTGTAAGGTCTCTTTTGAGAAATCCACTGACAGTCTGATGGGGACTCCTTTGTAGGTGACTGTCCCCTTAGCTCTTGCTGCTTCTAGGATTCTCTCCATTTTAATTTTGGCTAATGTAATTGTGATGTGCCTTGGTGTGTTCCTTCTTGGGTCCAACTTCTTTGGTACTCTCTGAGCTTGCTGGATTTCCTGGAAGTCTATTTCCTTTGCCAGATTGGGGAAATTCTCCTTTATTATTTGTTCTAATAAGTTTTCCACTGGTGGCTGTGCCTTTCCCCCTTCTGGTACCCCTATAATTCGGATGTTGGAGCGTTTCAAGATGTCCTGGAGGTTCCTAAGACTCTCCTCATTTCTTTGAATTCTTGCTTCTTCACTCTTTTCTGTTTGGCCATTATTTGCTTTCTTCTGGTCCACTCCATTGATTTGAGTCCCAGTTTCCTTTTCATTGCTATTGCTGTCCCATGCAATTCCATTCATTTCAATTAGTTTTGCCTTCATATATTTGTCTAATTTGTCGCTATAACCAACCAGTTCTGTGAGGATCTTGATGACCAGTGTTTTAAACTGTGCGTCTGAGAGTTTTGCTATTTCTTCATCGCTTAGATCTATGGGCTCTGGGGCTTTGAGATCTTCTTGCGACATTTTTGGTCTGTTCGTGCCCTTTAAGTGTGAGAAGCGACGCCTTGGACTCCCAGGTCGCTGGGTTGTGACGCTGTATGTGGGGGCGTGGTCAGAGCAGGGAAATGGTGACCCCCTCTGCTGTTTCTCACAGCTAGGTAAGGATCAGCGCCTTAGGTGGTTCACCTGGGCCGGGCCACTCAGAGTCGCTGGGTTATGACGCTGTATGTGGAGGTGGGGTCAGAGCAGGGAAATGGTGGCGCCCTCCACTGCCGCTCGCCGGGGCGGTCCAACCGCCCACTCCCTCACCTGTCCACCCGCGCACAAATGGGCGATTTTATTTATTTTTGGAGAGAAAGGAGGGGAGGGAGAAAGAGAAGGAGAGAAACACCAGTGTGTGGTTGCCTCTCACATACCCCCTACTGGAAACCTGGACAGCAACCCAGGCATGTGTCCTAACTGGGAGTCCATCCAGTGACCCTTTAGTTTGCAGGCTGGAATTCAATCCACTGAGCCATACCAGCCAGGACTCTTGACTGATTTTTAAAAAGTGTGAGAGCCTTGACTGGTATAATTCAGTGGGTTGGGTGTCATCCTGCAAACCAAAAGGTTGCCAGTTCCATTTCTGGTCAGGGCACGTGCCTGGGTTATGTACGGGCCAGGTCCCTGTTGAGGGTACATGAGAGGCAACCAATCGGTGTTTCTGTCCCTGTCTTTCTCCCTCCCTTCCCCTCTTTCTAAAACTAAATGAACAAATAAAATCTTTTTAAAGAGAGAGAAACATCACTTTATTGTTCCGCTTATTGATGCATTCATTGGTTGATTCTTGTATGTGCCCTGACCAATGGATGAACCCATGACCTTGGCATACGGGAACAGTGCTCTACCAGCTGAGTAGCTGGCCAAGTCAGTTTTCTTTGACTCTCACCTCTAAGCATTTGTATTCAGTTGTCTGGATCATCCTGTCTCTACTTTCCAAGTGTTCATTCACCAGGCTGCCCTTGGCATCCTGTTCTAGTTTCATTAAAAAAAAGATTTTATGTATTTCTTTTTAATATAATTAATTAGTTCATAAACGAGAAGGGACAGGAGGGAGAGAAACATCAAATCGGTTGCCTCTTACTTGCGCCTTGACTGGGGACTGAACCCACAACCCAGGCAGGTGTGCGGACAGTCGAGCCTGGGACGGTTTTTTGATTTGTGGAGCAACACCCAACCAACTGAGGCACACTGGTCAGGGTTCCTGTTCTAGTTTCATGGTACAGTACTTCTCTGGTAATTGAGGGGGATGCTATCATCTTCTATTGAGGTTTCCATTGGCTTTCTTTCTCCTTGGGTGCATTGGGACTTTTTTGTGTGTCTATTATATGAAGTTACCAGCTCTTTGTGTGAGAGGCATCCTTCTTACCTTGTAGGTCTCGGTGGGCCTGGCAAGGAGCTGGTATTTTCTTCGGGGTGTGGAGGATCCTTCAACTCTTAATGTCTGAGAATACTTTTTCCTGGCACTCTTTCCCCAGAAATGTCTCCTGAAGTCCCCTTAGGCTGGGGGCCTCCTGGCTGGGTCAGTAGGCAAGTTTCAGTGGACTCTCCCCTCTCTCCAGCCTGGCCCTCACCTGCAGCCTGTCTTGTGCCTGCCTCTCTCACCTGAGAGGCCCTTCATTCTAGTTCTTCTGAATATAAAACTGATTTCCCAGGGGAGCTGAGGTTACCAGGGCAGGGACCTCACTTGCAGGGTGTTCTTTGGAGTGGGGTTCCACCAGGGGAGGGATGACGTAAGCTATGAGTAACCAGCAGCTTGGTTTCTGATAGTTACCTATTTTCACTCTTAATTTGGTGAGCAATTAAGTACTGTATTTTGCTGTTTATAATGCACACGCATGTTTTTTGCCGTAACTTTCAGGCGGGAAAATCTTTCATTTTAATGTTTTACCTCAATTTTTTATTTACTTATATTCAGGAACAACACCAGTTATCACATTCCAGGGTATTATTTTGCATATGGCTATTATTATTGCTTTCTAAAGTTATACTTTTAATGCATAAGTATAAATTAAAAGAATTTAAAACGTTTACATAGATATGAGATTAGTACTACCCACATATAATGTGCCTCCTTATTTTTCCTTCAAAAATCTGGGCAAAACAGTGCACATTGTACACAGCAAAATAAGGGTATTTGCTTGCGTTTGGATTTTCCTGAGCCATTCAGGTTTCTCACAGCAGGTACTTTTCCCAGCACCAGCTGGCCACTAGCAATTTAGGAGCTTACTCTGACCATTTCAGAAGGAACTGGGCTTGTTCCAGTCCCAGGAAAAATGAAGATTGGTCTCTTGGGGGTTTGTAGACGAGGCTTGGGAATGGGCGGGGGGGTGGCAAGTGCGAGGGATGAGAAAGGAGGGAGAGCGTGTGGTCTTCTCCATTGCCTACTCCTTCTCCCAGGCTTGAATACCCCAGGCCCAGGGAGGTCCCAGTGACAGCTGCCACTTTCTCAGCTCACCGCCTCTTCCTTGGCTGCCAGCAGGTTTCTCTGCAGTCTGATAGACCCCCAAGGCCCTCACCATGGACTTCCAGCATCGTCCAGGGGGCAAGACTGGGAGCGGGGGTGTGGCCTCCTCTTCAGAGAGCAACCGTGACCGCAGGGAGCGCCTCCGGCAGTTGGCCCTTGAGACCATCGACATCAACAAGGTGAGTGGGGCCAGGAGGGGTTGCCCACAACCTAACTCTCACCCTGGAGCTACATTCCATACGCTTGCACCTGTGCCCTGGAGCGCTTGCTTGCCTGGCTCTCTGGGCCTCAGGCTTCTCTGTAAACAGGGAGCCTGACCTAGAGCAGCAGGTTTTCACTGCTCACCCAGGACTGTCTGCTGTTAGTGACCCTACCTTTGAAGGTTTTTGTTTTTGTACCATGTAAGACATTTTGGTTTTGTTTGTTCGATCTACTAGCGGCGTGGGAAATCTCCAGTGGGGAGGGCTGTGGTGGTATCACATGAATTGATATCATTCCAGCCATAGGCAGTGAAGGCCCAAGTTTCATTTCAGCCACAGCCACACAGGGCTATTAGTAGACCAGTTCTCCCCTTGGGCACTGCCGACATTGGTGAGCAACAGTCTGTGGGGGCCATTCTGGGCTCTGTGGATTGTCAAGCAGCATCCCTGTCCCCCAGTACCAGGAGTACCCCCAATTATAATGACCACCGATGTCCCCAGATTTCTCCCAGTGGCCCCTGGGGCAGAATGGCCCAGGTGAGAGCCAAGCAGTCAATGTGTAGTTCACAATAGACTCTGAAACCCCCTGAAGTGTATGGGGCCCTTGCATGTGCCAGGCACCCCCAAAACTTTTCAGAGTCCGTACTTGTGATACCGGTTACTGTCCCCATTATCCAGATGAAGAAACAGTTGGTGGCAGGGGGTCATTGTCAAAGATGACACAGTCCCTAGGCAGTCAGTTTAGGATTTGAACACTGCGAGGCTGCTCTGTGCCTGCAGTCAGCAGCACTGCCTTGATGCCCCAGTTTGTGCAAAGTCACCTGTCCAGTGTACAGGACTTGTGGAGACGTGGGTCTTCATGGCCTTTCCCTTAACCCACTTTCTGGTGCTCTGCCTTGTGCTGTGACACCTGGAAGGCCGGTGGGGTTTGTGGCCAGATCCCTGCCTGGCTCAGGAGATCGGTGACCAGCAGTGCTTGTTAGGCCCTGCATCTTTCCAGATCCAAAACTGCTACCAATGTAGAGCCAGGGACTCCCCAGAGACCCTGCTGCTCAGAGTGTGGTCCAGGGACCGGCAGTGTCAGCTCCTACCTCTGCCTAGTGGACTCAGCACTACCCTAACAGGCTCCTGCCGAGCCAGCCCCAGGCTGCTTCTAATCCTCGGTCCCAGAACACCTGCCCCAGAGGACAGCAGCCACCCCTCTACAGCCAGCGGGCAGCCCTGCTTCTCAAGCACTGTTCCTATCAGGCAGGGCCGAGTGGTTCCGTCTTCCTTGCTCTAATGGACTGCCTCTTTCCCAGGACCCTTATTTCATGAAGAACCATCTGGGCTCATACGAATGCAAGCTGTGCCTGACACTTCACAACAATGAGGTGAGTTCTCAGTGTCTGCTCTTTGCACGTATCCTCCCTGTCCCTGCAGACAACCTCTCTAGCAAAATGCACTGCTCCCACCCATCCTCCAGGATCTTGTGTTGTGAATCTGACATGTCATTCAGAATGTGGCCACGGGCAAAGGTGCTCTGATAGGGGCCTGCCACTCACTTCTGAACTTCTTCACTGAGCACGACTTCAAGTGCATCTTTGTAGGAGGTCACTCCAAATGAAGGCCGAGCCCCCTCTGTCCCCAGCCTTCATCCTGCATGCTCAGCCCCCCTGGAGGCCACCAGTGCTGTGGATTTGCTGCTTGTCTGTTTTTCTTTAATACCACTGTTGTACGGATACGCATCTGAGCATGGGGCACACCCCAGAGCATTCAACGTTGGGTTTTGAGGCCCAATGGTATGGCTCCATTTCCTTTAATGACCATGTGATTGTCCGTACAAAAGTCTGACAGGTGCTCACATCAGGCTCACTGTGTAGCACTGAACAGGCCCTGTTCATCCTTTCCTCGTGGTGTCGCACACACAGCCACAGACAGTGTACCCTTGAACAGTCCGCATGTCAGGGTCTCTCCCTTCTGTACTCTGGACAGCGGGTCCTGCTCCCAGCAGGAAGAAAGGAGAGCAGGCCTGGTCGAGGGGCATCCAGTCCCCATCCCTCCTCTATTTGTCTTAAAATTGTGTCCCTTCCTACTCTAGGGGAGCTACCTCGCACACACCCAGGGGAAAAAGCACCAGACCAACTTGTGAGTATGTCACCCCCACACTCAGTTCAAAGCCTCAGGTCCCGGGTCGGGAGCTGGCACTTGTCTGACATCTCTGTGAGCCGTGCCAGATGATGATGTAGGGGTGGTCTGGGGCCAGCCTGGCCTGGGGTCAGAGTATTGAGCCCTGCCCAGTGCGGTGGGCAGGTGTGGCTGTCCGGGTGTGAGGGGAGGAGCAAGACATGCTCCTTACCTGGCAAGAGTGAGGGTTCTGTGAGTGGAGAAGGGTGGGGTTCTCAGAGGGCTCCCTAGTAAGAGGGCAGGGGGATATAACAAAAAGAGAAAGGTGCCCATGCCTGTCCCGTCCATTTTCATTCAACCCCGGGCCCCTCATCTGACCCTCACTCCCCAACTCCCTCATTTAGCAGAGGCTCTCCAAGGTCAATGTGGGGGCAGGATGGCTCCTAGCACCTGGGCTATGGCCTTGGCTGTGTGTGTGAGTACGCGCACACACGCGCACATGAGTGAATGAAGGGGCTGCAGTGCTGTGTTTGTCCTGCCTGCAGGGCCCGGCGAGCAGCCAAGGAGGCCAAGGAGGCCCCTGCCCAGCCGGCGCCAGAGAAGGTCAAGGTGGAAGTAAAGAAGTTTGTGAAGATTGGTCGCCCAGGCTACAAAGGTAAGTCTGTCTGGAGGTACGCTGGCCCACAACTGGCACAGGCAGGAGTGAACCTTTTGGCCAGGACCCCAGACCCATCCCTGAGCCATATGTACACTGCTGATACCTCTCACTGCTCTCAGGGACTGCTTACCCCACCTGGCTCCCACCTTCCCAATATGAACTTTCTCAGACATGACCATGTGGACACGGTGTGACATGTGGGAAGGCAGCAAGCCTGGTATGCCCCTCTCCTGGGAGCTTGGAACTGGGTCCTGGCTCCTCTGAACCCGAAGAGAAAGTGGGGTGGGAAGATACAGGAGTGTGTTAGCAAGGAAGAGGGCTCTGCGTTCCCTGACTCAGAAAGTCAGGTACATGACCCAGTTGGAACATAGGGGACTGTGTTCTAACAAAACGTGGCAGTGTCCTATGTGTGCCTGGCGTTGCAGATAGTACATAGTGTGCAGAGGCCCTTGGGCAGGCCTGCTTATGAACCAGGACTACAATGGCATGTGGGCCACCAAAGGCCTTTTGGCTGTGATCAGACGTCCATCTCTGTCATGAGTGTAGAGGGAGAAATTGGAAAGCTTATAGAGGAGTTTGGTGTGCCTGGGAGCTGGGCAGAGAACAGCGAGCGTGAAGCCACAAGGCTCTAATGCAGAGGGCGTCCTGTCCTGGAGGCAGGGTGTAGGCCTTGCTTGGCCTCTACACCTGTTGCCTCCTCTTCTCAGTTCCTGTTCAGTGCTATCCCAGGCCCCAGGTCAGGGTAACACAGAGCCATTCTTCTGTACGGAGGGACCACCAGCTGTATGGTCTCAGGCAGGTGGTACCTACAGCACAGAGCCCTCCTAGGCCTTGGTGCCCTACAGCCAGGTGGCCTCCCTGGGGTCCTGAGGTTTGGGAGGGTGACAAACTGGCCTGGACCTGAGACCCTCCTGTGTTGCAGTGACCAAGCAGAGGGACACAGAGATGGGCCAGCAGAGCCTCCTCTTCCAGGTGAGATGAGGCCCAGGGCCCAGTCATGATGGGAGGGGCTCCTAGAAAGCAGTGCTGCCACTTATCTGTGTCCCCCCAGATTGACTATCCTGAGATTGCTGATGGCATCATGCCACGCCACCGCTTCATGTCTGCCTATGAGCAGAGGATTGAACCCCCAGACCGCCGCTGGCAGTACCTGCTAATGGCCGCCGAGCCCTATGAGACCATTGCCTTCAAGGTAGCTTGCACAGCCCATCCTAGGAGTGCCGTAAGCCATGTCTGGTACCCCCAAACCAAGCCCTATTCCCTCCGAAGTCCTCCCCCGCTGGGCCTGCTCTTACACTGAGGGGCACCCCCTGCCTGAACCCTGGCCCTGAGGGGCTCTAAGGCCCATCTTTGTTCCCGCCCTCTCCCCTTCACAGGTGCCGAGCAGGGAGATTGACAAAGCCGAGGGCAAGTTTTGGACTCACTGGAACCGGGAAACCAAGCAGGTAAGTCACTCTAGGTCTGGGCAATTCCAGGACCTTTTGTCGGCTGTCATGTCTCTCCACCCAAAGCCCCAAGGGGTTCCACTCAGATTTTCTTTTTCTTTCCAGTTCTTCCTTCAGTTCCACTTTAAGATGGAAAAGCCTCCTGCCCCGCCAAGCCTGCCCGCTGGGCCTCCTGGAGTGAAAAGACCACCCCCCCCACTGATGAACGGTTTGCCTCCACGACCACCGCTGCCTGAGTCTTTGCCTCCACCTCCACCAGGAGGCCTGCCTCTGCCCCCCATGCCGCCCAGTGGGCCTGCACCCTCAGGGCCCCCAGGCCCTCCCCAGCTGCCCCCACCAGCTCCTGGTGTCCACCCGCCAGCACCAGTGGTCCACCCTCCAACATCTGGGGTCCACCCTCCAGCTCCCGGGGTCCACCCCCCAGCACCGGTGGTCCACCCACCATCATCTGGGGTCCATCCTCCTGCTCCTGGGGTTCACCCTCCAGCTCCAGGAGTCCATCCTGCAGCCCCAGGTGTCCACCCTCCTCCATCTGCTGGAGTCCACCCCCAGGCCCCAGGGGTGCACCCACCAGCTGCTTCGGTCCACCCCCAGGCTCCAGGGGTGCACCCCCCTGCCCCTGGGATTCACCCCCAGCCTCCTGGGGTCCATCCCCCTCCTCCTGGAGTTCATCCCCCAGCTCCTGGGGTCCATCCCCAGCCTCCTGGGGTTCACCCCTCCAATCCTGGGGTCCACCCCCCGGCTCCCATGCCCCCAATGCTGAGGCCCCCGCTGCCTTCGGAGGGCCCTGGGAACATTCCACCCCCTCCCCCAGCCAACTGAAAAGCTGCCTCTGTCCCTGCAAGTTTACTCCCATGCTTCCCTGTCTTTTCCCTGTCAGAGTTTTTGTATGGGACTGTGCCGTGTCCCCAGAGCTCATTAAACAGCTGCCCCAGACACTTGGTTGCACTGCTGTGTCCATGGGTGGGCAGGGCACTTTAGCAGCCCCTCTACCCTTTATGAGTGGTTCGGGTCAGGCTTGAAGACACTGTGGCCCACCAGAACTGCGGTAGGTGACCCCATGTCTCAGCTCTGCCCTGGAGCCATGGGCTTGGGGTTCATCTTGTGGGAGGAGAGCAAAGCAGAGGATGCGCTCTGGCCTTGGTGTCTCCAGGCCAAGACACCTGTGCTCCTGTGGCCCCTCGGCTTCCCAGGGGCAGAGTGAGTGAGCAGAAGACTCAGGGAGCCCTATCTGCGTCTAGAGACCACCCACCTGGTGCCATTCAGATCCCAGGCCTCCTCAGGGAGGGGCTCTACCCCTCTGCCCTCCTCCAGGCCCAGCTCCACAGCTGTGGATGTTTGGCCCATCTGCGCTGGTCACTCCCATCTCCAGAGGGAAAAACTCAAGGACAGTTGGACACATTGGTCACAGGCCATACTTTCTATCACTAGTGGGAAGGAGATAGGCAGCCAGGCTGGAACAGAAGGGGCTTTGAGAAGGCCCAGGATTGCAGTGGGGCTCAGGCACAGGCCCCCAAGGTCATGTCCTGGGAGGCGATAGGGGCTGTCTTCCAGCACAAACACCCTGGGCTTACCCATATAAGCAGGGTGGCCCAGCCCCTCACAGTTCCCAGGATGTGGGCTGCACCTCTCTCTCGGCTGGTCCTCCTGCTTTGGGGCACCCTGCTGAGGGCTGGGACCCCCAGAGAAGAGGCTTTACCTGGGGATCCCCCTGCAGGCACCAGAGGTCTCATCTTCCACCAAGACCGGGACTGGCCAGGCCCTCAGGTCTGGCCTGCAAGCAGCCAGCAAGACTCCCTGTGCCTGGTGACGCTGGGTGGACATGGCAACGGCAGCAGTGCCCCGCTTCGGGTGGTGGGAGCCCTAAGGGGCTATGAGCAGGCCTTCCTGGAGGCCCTGCATCAGAGCCACTGGGGGCCCCGTGACCTGGCCACCTTTGGGGTCTGCACCCCCAGCCATGAGCACACTGCCTTGCCCCTTCTTCAGTTGCTTCAAGTGTGGCTGGGGGAGCCACATGGGCAGCAGCTGGTGGTCCTGCACCTGGAGGAAGGTATGTGGGGGCCCATGGCTGAAAGTGGGCAGGGCCCCCTGCTGTGGTCCCCAGTCATTGTTCTCCTTACATGAAGACTGTGCTCCCAAGTAAGATCCCAGGCCGCTCCCTGGCCTCCTAGGGAGGTTGAGGCCTATGGCCCTGTTCCCTTAGGCTGGGCACCCTGCAGCCTGGGAGGTGTGTGCCCTTGTCTTTGCCGTGTCTGGGGCTAGAAGTCCCCAGTAAATGCCCCACTCCCAGACCCCCCCCCTGCGGTGCCTGGGAAGGTTCCCACTCCAGGAAGGAGCCGGTGGGGGGTGGGGCCAGCAATCCCAAATGTCCAGGGAAGAAACACCCCTCCCACATAGCACGAAAGCCTGAAGTAGGAGAAGCCTGTGCCCAGGGGCCACTGACTTCAGATACACTGTGGGGCTGCCCAGGTGACACGTGAACCTCCAGCCAGGAGATCCCCAAAACCAGAGACCTCAAGATTTCAGGGATGATGGGCAGCAGCTCCACCCACACACCCACCTTGTCAGTCCTCCCACCTCTGCCCTGGCAAGGTCCTGCACCTGGTGTTCAGGGTGTCAAACCACCCCTACCAGTGGCCTGTGGCTCCCAGGTGGCATAGAGCCTCCCTGCAGAACAGGCTTGGGCAAGGGGTTTAGGCCTCAGGGCTCAGCTGTCCCCCTTTCCCTTTGTCTTGGTGACAGTGATGTGGGAGCCAACACCCTCGCTGAGGTTCCAGGAGCCTCCACCTGGAGAAAGCCCCCCAGAGCTGGCGCTGCTGGTGCTGTACCCCGGGCCTGGCCCAGAAGTCACTGTAACAGGGGCAGGGCTGCTGGGCACCCAGGTACTAGGATTGGGTGGGGCACTCCCTGAGCCCCAGGAGCGCTCACCCATTGCAGGAGAGGGAGGAGGGGGTTTTAACAGTCTGGCTCCAGGGAAAGGCTCCAGGTGTCCCTGCTAAAACCTGGAGAGGGTGGTAAGGGCAGTGGGCAGGGCAGGGGTGGCGTCGCATCCTACACCCCTGCCCAGCCAAGCTGAGCCCCTATTCCCTCAGAGTCTCTGCCTATCCCGGGACACCAGTTACCTGGCGCTGGCCGTGAACCATCCCGCGGGGGCTTGGCAGGGCAGGGGACTCATCCTAACCCTGCGTCACCGTGGAAACGGTAGGCCGGACCCAGAGGGAGTGGGCAGGGCCAGGTGCCCTGGGCCTCAGCCCCCGACTCAGCTCCGGCCCTTCCCTTCAGGTACCTTCCTGAGCACCACCCAGCTGCAGGCGCTGCTGTTCCGCACCGACCCCCGCTGCTTCACGAGGATGACCCCGGCCCTGCTCCTGTTGCCTCGGTCCGGACCTACGCCCATGCCCGTGCAGGGTCGTCAGGATACTGTGCCCTTCCCCTCACCCAGGTGCGTGCTGGCCCAGCCAAGGACGCGGGGTGGTGGGAACGGCTTAACCTCGAGCCCACACCCGGACCCCTCGCCTTTCAGTCCAACCCTGCAGCTTGAGGAGCCACCACCCAGCGCCGACCCCTTCCTGGAGACGCTCACACGCCTGGTACGCGCGCTGCGGGGTCCCCCAGCCCGGGCCTCGCTGCGGAGCCTGGCCCTAGACCCTGCGGCCCTGGCTGGCTTCCCGCAGGGCCTGGTCAACCTGTCGGACCCCGTGGCACTGGAGCGCCTGCTTGACGGCGAGGAGCCCCTGTTGCTGCTATCACCTGCCTCTGCCACCGCTGGCGTCCCCACATCGCTGCAGGGCCCTGTGTCCTCGCCCTGGGCAGCGGACCTCGCGCGCCGCGTGGCCTCGGAACTGCAGGCAGCTGCTGCTGAGCTGCGCGGCCTCCCAGGGCTGCCTTCCGCCGCCCCACCGCTGTTGGCGCGCCTGCTCGAGCTGTGCCCTGGGGACCCGGGGGACTCAGGCGGTCCCGGCGGCCCGCTGCGTGCGCTGCTACTGCTAAAGGCGCTGCAGGGCCTGCGCACAGAGTGGCGTGGGCGGGAGTGGAGCGGGCCAGCACGAGCACAGCGCAGCGCTGGGGCCCGGGCCGCAGACGGGACGTGCGCACTTCGAGAGCTGAGTGTGGACCTTCGTGCGGAGCGGTCCGTACTCATCCCGGAGACGTACCAGGCCAACAACTGCCAGGGCTCGTGCGGGTGGCCACAGTCCGACCGCAACCCGCACTACGGTAACCATGTGGTCCTGCTGCTCAAGATGCAGGCCCGTGGGGCTACCCTGGCACGCCCGCCCTGCTGCGTGCCCACAGCCTACACGGGCAAGCTGCTCATCACCCTATCGGAGGAGCGCATTAGCGCGCACCACGTGCCCAACATGGTGGCAACCGAGTGCGGCTGCCGATAACCCCGCGCCGCCGCGTCCCGAGTGGCGCCTCTATCCATATTTATTCGGACCCCAAGCATCACCCCAATAAAGACCACAAGCACATAGCTAGGGTGTCTGTGCGTGTTTGGTGGCAGGCGGAGACCTCCTTCCACCAGCCAATTCTCTGGCGCACAAGACTGGGTCGGCCCAGTTGCCACTGCCTGCCCCCTTCACTACCCCACCCCCATCTGAAGCTCCCACCCCCATCATTCAGGCCCCGGGGCGGTTCGTGGTGGAGGTGCAAAGAAGCAGGTGACATGGGGCTCGCAGCACTCACTTTATTTTGCTAGAACCAAGGGCTTCAGAGAAGAGGTCCCAGGATTCTGCTGCAGGACCCAGGCCCGGCTCAGTCCCGCCCCTTACCGGCGCGGTGCTTCTGGCGGCCCAGAGGCCAGTCCTCAGCGTCCGGGCGCCGCGGGGAGGTCCAGGCCCGACTTTTTCGGTGCTCAGGGTCTTCGGAGTCCCACACCCAGCGTCGATGGCCCCCTTCGTGTGTCTTCCAGCTTCGGGGCAGGGCTTCCCGGGCCTCCCTTGAGGCGCGTGACTTCTCTGGCTTTCGAGGTCTCTCCTTCCGCGGCCTCTCCTCCCTCTGAGGCCTCGCCTTCCGCGGCCTCTCCTTTCGTGGTCTTTCTTTCCACAGCCTCTCCTTGGGACCTCCGTGGGCGAGGTGTGCGCGCTCCTCCCCAGTGGCCTCCCCGGAGTCCCCTTCTCCCTTTCCTGCAGCTTCCATTCTCCTGGGAACCTCGGTCCTTTCTTCTGCCTCCACATGGGGTGCAGAGGGTCCCGATGAGGGGGCCGAGGCCACAGGCTTCAGCTGCAATGGGCAGAGTGAGGGGTGAGAGGATCAGCGCAGACCCACAGGCCCAGGCTCCTTTCTCTGGATGAGTGTTCAGCCGCCCACAGTCGTTGAAGGAAACGCTTACCGGGGGCGATGCTGGCTTCTTTGGTGGCAAGCTTGGCGGGACCCATGGCTCGGGGACAGGTGCAGGGGCGTCCGTCTCCCCAACCACGACGTCTTGGAGGGGACAGGAGGGGTGCGAATCAGCCTGGACGAGAGGCCGACCACGCAGTCCGCCCCAGCCCTCACTGCCAAAACTCCCTCTCCCCGGGGAAAGACAAAGGGAGTCAGCAATTCCGTCGGGTACTTGGAGGCTGGACTGGACCGCTCTGAACTCTTGGAAAGAGTTTGGGCTCCCCGCTGTTGCGGGTGCCCCTTCCCTCAAAATCATCTTCATTCCGCTTGTAAAAAGGACAGGTCATGTTTCTCCGCGGGCTGCAGGAGCGCCCTGGTGCACGAGGAAGACTCACCACAGAATGGCTGGGGGAGGGGGGCGGGGGGGGGCGGGGGGCCTGGGCAGGGACCGGGAGCCTGCAGCCTATCCTGGACCTGTAAGGGTGTAAGGAGCAGTGCACAGCAGGGGGAAGGGTATCTTCACTGGGGAGGCAGGGGCACCAAGGTCCATGGTGAGAGGACGGAAAGGGGGCACTAAAAGGCCATTCTGGAGAGAGGGGCGCAGGCCGGACCTTGGAGGTGCACGGTGGTACCTAAACAGGAGGTGCACAAGGCAGGGAGGAAGAGGAGGACGCCACACAAGATCCATGCTAGGGGTAAAGGAGTGTGCAAGGCGGGAGTGGGGAGTGACGTGGGCCTGTCCACGAGGGGGCGTGCAAGACCCCTGCCCTGGGGAGGTAGGCTCACCGCGACACAGCTGGAAGGCTGAGCCGAGCAGCGCCACCAGCGAGGCGAGCACCAGGCACTTGTTGAGCGTCAGGTCTCCCCATGGCAGCTCCTCACTTAGAGCCGGAGGAGGTGGCGGCGGCTTTGGGGACGCCGCAGCCTGCGCCTTCTTTCGCACTGGGCTCCTCGGGGCTTTGGGAGCAAGTGTGGGGGTGGGTGCAGCTCCAAGGAGTGGAGCTGCACCCTTAACTCTGCTCAGCCCCGCCTGGCTGTGCGGTCCTGGGCAGGGGAACTAAGTTTGGCAGCTTCACTGGGATACTGAGGATATTCTAGATAATTAGCTGAAACTTAGTAGCAGTAGCACCTTAGGTGGTGTTATGAATTAGCAGAGGCTCCCGGACCTTTTAGTTGTGCCTCTGACACCTGGACACCACTCAGCCAGAAGCCCACAGCACAACACCCTGTCTCTCCCTCCCACCCCCCACCCCCAGATCCAAGGACCCAGCCCAGGACCCACTCCCTGTGTCACTCCATGCCCACCCCCCACTTCACCCCTGCCTCCTGCAAACCGACTTGATCCTGCTTTCGGTCTCTCCTTGCTGAGTCCCGGGGCCACTTTGGCCACAGGCTCCTTTTCTGTCTTCTTGGGCCGGATATCCATTCCGCCTGCGGGGCTCCCCTCAGCCTCTGGCTCCTGAGAATTCTGTGGGGAGTCACCAGTCTTTCCTTCCTGTCTTTCCTCTGAGGGAGCCTGAGCCCTTCCCACCCTTCTTGGCCAGTGTACCCCTGACTCCAGGGAGGTCTTGGGCTGAAACTCAAGGGCCCCGGCTACTCACATGGGGCCAGCTGCTGGAGTCAGCCAGCCTGGGCGGCACTGTTAAATGGGAACAGAGGAAGACTCAGGTCATGGGGATCCCCAGGCTAATCCCACCCTCCTCTGGGCTCTGCTAGGCAAGGGGCAGGTGGTGGCTCCCACTTCACAGACTGGAAAGCAGACAGGCTCAGAAGCAGCCTCACCCAAAGGCACACTGGCACTTCCCCGGGAGGCTGGGATTGGAACCCGGACCTGTGTGGGTCAGCCCCTTTTGGGGGATGCTCCCTACAGACACCTGAGGAACCAATGGGCCAGAGGTGGGAAACAGGAGCACTGTTTAAGCCAGTGTCAGAGTCCAAGTCCTGGTCTCCGCAGGTGAGCTCCCTGGGTCACTCGGAGAATGGGGGCTTGGGCTTCGTCCTGCCAGCACGACCCCCAGGGTGTCTCGGGTATCTCAGCCTGTTCCCCCAGGGCCTGCCTGGGCAGGGATCAGCCGGTGCAGGGAGGTCCTCACCCGCCTGGCCACTGCCCAGGCCTCCATCTGGCTCCTCCAAGGCCACGGTTGTCATGGAGATGTCTGAGAAGCAGCAGGTCCAGACTGGAGCTGTGGGGGCAGGGAGAGTGGGGAAGAAACATCTTGTGCTTACTGAGCCCCCGCTGTGGGCCTGGGCCTGACCTGGGGGGCAGGGCTCCGGAGTACAAGTGTTATCCAGCCTCTGCCTGCCCCCAGCCCTTGAGCCCCCTTCACATGGAGAATTCAGATTCACTCAGGGCACGTCCTAGGCACCCTCCCTGAGCCCCCCAGGCCTGCCTTGGACCCCTCCCCATCACCCGGCATCCCTGAGCACACAGCAGAGGCTGTTGTGGCCCAGAAAGGGCTGGGACTCACCCAAAGTCACAAAGAGATGACCAGGCACCCACACCAGAACCCTGGGCCCCAGGGTTGGCTTGTGTTCTCTGAGACCAGGGCCTATTTTTATCCATTGCCCAAGGCCCATGGGACAGACCAGTATGAGGCCCATCACCTTTTCAGACCTTCGTGCCGATGAGTTCCCCCTCTAGACCACCCTCACCTGCCGTACCTGCCACCCAGTTCCCCCTTGGCCCCCTAAATCTAGGACCTCAAGTTCCAGCAGCCAGGACCAGCCTCACTTTGGTCACAACAGGCAGGGAAAGGGTGAGGAGGCCCTGGGGGCCTGCCTCTCCACCCCAACACTGGAGTCCCTGTCTCTTCTCACTGCCTCTGCTCCCACAGGACAGGGAGAAACTGAGGCTGGGGACAGAGGTATTGGCCAGAGGGGGTGCAGAGCTCGAGGTCCAACCCAAGTCTGCTGGCTTCCTGAAGCCCTGGTTTTGGGGGTCCCCTGTGCCTCTACCTGCCTGTGTTAATGTGTCCCACCCCTGGGCAGAAAAGTGACCCTTCTCAGAGGCTGGAGCAAGGCAGTTGGGGAGCCCAGTGGGCTGGGGTGTGCACCTCTAGGTGTATAGGGGACAGCCACAAAAGTTGGGGACCCCCGTGGACTTCAGAGACACCCTCCCCAGGCCCCTGGAAACCCTCATCTCTGAATAGGCCTCCCCCTTCCCCACTTACTCCACAGCCGCCACGCTGGGCCTGGTGGACTGCATGTAGGGCAGCCCCAGGAAAGACAGCAACAGGTGGCCAGAGGCGTGGGATGGGCCAATCAGCTGTGTGGCCAGAGCAGGAGGGGTGGGAAGGCAGGGCACAGTTGGGCCTTTCCCCACCTCCTTGCAGGAGGGCGAGGCATTGGCCGGAGAGTGACCCACCCCACTTTTGCGTACAGTCACTGTCAGGTTGGCCATGTTGACTCTGGGAATGTAGCTTCTTATCTCTGAGCATCAGGAAAAGGGGTTCTAGGGGAGAGAGCGCCACGAAGGGGTTCCCCTCACCTTCTCTCCTGGATTCTGTCAGCAAGCCTTTATGAAGTACCAACAGTGCGCCACCCCATAGGTGGCGTAACCTGCAGAGCCCAGGGACATCAGGGAGGGCTTCTTGGAGGCTGGCTCTGCCGCCGGCTGGCCTGGGCAAGGCAGCAGCTCAGAAGCCTGTTCCCTCATGTGGAAAGTGGGGCTGCTTACTCCAGGGGGGCAGTGAGGGCAAATGGATGACTCCATATTAAATAACCACTGGACAACTGTAGGCTGCACCGTGCCACCCAGTTGCCGGTGCACAAACCTTAGCTTCATCCATCATCACACGTGCTGCACCCCGCCTAGCCCAGCCATGTGGGAAGTTGTTTCGCCATTTTTTTAAAAGTAACAGCTTTATTGAGATAGAATTCACATACTATACAGTTTACTCTTTGAAAGTGTATAATTCAATGGTGTTCAGTACATCTGTACAGCTCTGCCGCCATCACCTCTATTTACAATAATTCCAGAACATCCATCACCCCAGAAAGAAACCCTGTCCCCATAAGCAGTAGCTCTACAAAGCCCCATCTCCCCCAGTCCTGGCAACCACTAATCCACTTCCTGCCACTTCCTGTGCCTGTTCTGGACATTTCGCATGCGTGGAACCACACACCATGTGGCCT